CACCAGGCCATGATGGTTCCCAGGGGCCACCTTCTCCAACAATAGCCAGAGGCTCTTTTATTTGGGGAGAATTTAAACCCTCTGATATACAGACATTTTGGTGTAGTGGTTAAGTGCGTGGACTCTAATCTGGGAGAACTGGGTTTGATTCCCCACTCCTCCACTTGCAGCTGCTGGATGACCTTGAGCAAGCCATAGTTCTGTCAGAGCTGTTCTCTTAAGGACAGTTCTGGAAAGAGCTCTCTCAGCCCCATCTAGCTCACCGGCTGTCTGTTGGGGGAGGGGAAGGGAAAGGAGTTTGTAAACCACTCTCTGACTCCTTTGGGTAGTGAAAGGTGGGGTATAAATCCAATCTCTTCTTCTATTTATATTTATTTATATTGTTTATTTATTTATTAAATTTATACCCTGCCCTCCCTGCTGAAGCAGATGTCAGATATTTCTGCAAACCTAGGGACTCCTTCAAGTTTGCAGAAACTTCTGTTCTGGGTAAATGTAGCCCTAATCCCTTAATCCCTCAATCCATCATTGAGGGCCATGCTTGAGAAATAGATATATAGGTGATAGATAGCCCTGACTATTTCACACACCAGATATCCTCTCTCTTTCCCAAAAAACCCTGAGACACTACCAGTCACCTTATCAACCACTCATCACTCAAATATTTCATAAAGTTATTGGGTTTAGAACTCAGCCACTGCTTCCACTCAGCCACTGCTTCATGCTGCCACCATTTCTTATATCGTATCATATATTCATGTCAAAGAAGATGGGGATGGCAAAGGATGAGATGGTTAGACAGTGCCATAGATGCAATGAACATGAAATTGAGCAAACTTCAGAGGACGGCGGAAGACCGGAAGGCCTGGCGTGATCTGGTCCGTGGGGTCGCGAAGAGTCGGACTCGATTGTGCGACTGAACAACAACATATTCAGGCTGAGACTTTATGGGTGTGTGTGTGTTTCTTCCCCTCAGATAGTACACATTCAGTAAGTGTGGTTAACCATAAAAAGGAATAACCTTTTATTGAAGGTTTCAAATAACATTGCAGTGGTTCAAGAAAACACATATACAACATTTCTTAACTCTATTCATGCTTCCAAGCCTCTTTATCACAAGTTATCCTTATCTCAGTCAGGGTTAGGCTACTGTTCTTTCTCTCACTCACTCAAACTGTGATGTCCTACCCTCTGTCTTCACCTGATTCTCTAAATGGCTCTAACTGCCAGTTGTCCTTCCAACATTCCATCAACTCTCATTGGCTGTTCACCAAGAGGAAGAATTGCTATTTATTGCTAGAGGTGTGCCCAATCACTGCTTGCCAACCCTATAACTTACTGTGTCCATGATAATTAACAATAGTTTGACCATGTTATTTTTCAGGACTAGGACGTTTTGTCTTATTAAAGCCTCATTCAAACATGAAGGGAATCAGAACATTCTGACCCCTGTAATAACCAGAAAACCCCTTCCTTTTTGCATAGCAACACACTGTTGTCTCCAAAGGAAACTGGCCACTGAATTTAGGAAGATGATAGGAGTGTCATTGCCAAGAAGGAAGGGAATTGAAAAATCCTAGGCCAGGTTATATGCAGAACCCCTCAATTCTGTTTACAAAAGGAAGCTAAAATTGTCTGTAGCAGGCATAAGTCACTCAAAAATAAAGCTAGGAGACTGAAAATTGGCCACAGACCACAGAGTGGGAGTTGTAGTGTCAAACATGAAGGTAACTGCAGCATCCTGAGCCATGCAGTGCCCAGAAACCCTCGCCCCCTGCTTTTTGCATTGAAAGCTGCAGTGGTCTTTGGCAATGCTATGAGCTTCAAAATTTCCCTCTAGCTTTAGAATGATGTTAGACGCGTCTGTGCCTCAAACAAAAGGAACAGGAACATCCTGACTCAGGTTATCTAATCGACCTCACAGAGTGGTTGTGAGGATAAAATGGAGAAAAGGAGAGTGATATAAGCTGCTTTTGGTCCCCATTAGGGAGAAAGTTGGAATATAAATAAATAAATCAATAAATAAATAGGATGGGGTTTTTTTGCCTAATGTTCTTGCATCTAACAATGATGACTGTGTGTTATTATGCTTGGAAATGGGACGTTTATATGTTAAACTTCTGCCACTTATACGGGAGTAGAAGGGAGGATGGCATCACTATCAATACTGGTCACCAGTGTTCCCTCTAAGCTGAGTTATTGTGAGCTAGCTCAGTCTTTTAGCCTCCGGCTCACACATTTTTGTCTTAGCTCAGGAAGGATGGCTCCAGAGCAAACTAATTTATGCAGTAGCCAAATCGCTCACTCACAACTTTAAGGCCATTAGCTCACAAAGTAGAATTCTTGCTCACAAGACTCCACAGCTTAGAGAGAACACTGCAGTGGTCACTATTCACATCACTCTGCTTATCTGTTAGCCTTGGGGTGTATTAATCCCCTCCACGTTCAATGAGAAAGCATGCACACAGATGAATAATCACATATCTAAATAGCATTTAAGTCTCTGGGGGAATCTAAATAGGAGCTACAGTGGCTCAAGTGGTTAAGACGCTGAACTGCAGGTTGTGGAAGGTTGGTAGTTCAGCAGTTCGAGACCCGGGTTGCTGCATGACGGAGTGAGCTCCCGTCTCTAGTTCCAGCTCCTTCCAACCTAGTAGTTCGAAAGCAAGAAATTGCAAGTAGATAAATAGGTACCACTTTGGTGGGAAGGTAACAGCATTCCGTGTTCTTTGGTGTTTAGTCATGCCGGCCACATGACCATGGAAACGACTTCGGACAGTGCTGGCTCATCGGCTTTGAAATGGAGATGAGCATCGCAACCCTAGAGTCAGACTCAACTGGCTTTCGAGCAAGGGAACCTTTACCTTTACTCTGGGGAAACCATCCAAGAATACAACAGGGCAATGCTTGTTGTCATTTAGGGGGGTTCTGCCAACAAAAGGGGCATACGCATGTATTCTGTGTTTTATGACATGTTGATTTCTGTGAATCACTATAGAGATTTCAATAAAACCTGACAATTTCCTTCACCCATGGTGTGTTTATTGCTTCTGAAGCCAACGCCCTGAGGTGCTAAGGTTCTTTGACTTGTGTGTCTAGCCAATAAACCACACAATAAAACAATTATCCAGGCAGTAAAGGGTAACAAAATAATTTATTCCAATAAAGGAACACCTCACAGCTTGTAGATGTTCAGTGTGTTACAGGGATCTTGCTTATATAGTGTTCTTGCTCCTCCTCACTTTACATAATCACTGACATCATTTAGACATGCTCAGTTTAGATTTCTTTGTCTGGTCAGTATACAGGATGTTACTTGACTGCATCCCAACTCTACAATGCAGGTGCTCTGCTCATTAAATTGATTTATACATGTGTTTACTTCTTTTGGCTGTCTACCTAGACTCCTTTCACCTTTGAATGAACTCTCAGACTGAGTTCATTTTCAATACAAAACTTAGAAGTTTTCATTACAAAAATGCTTCTTTTACATTAATACTTGCATATAAAAGTATAACAACATTCTCAAAGCATTTTTATAAGCTAAATTTCACTAAAGGTATACAAAATATGAAAACATATATAATCACAATTACATTCTAAAGAATTAAACCCTTTACATGTATTCTTTTGGTATTTCAAAGTAGCTTATGGCATAAAGCTCTTGTAGACGTACTGAATCTATCAATCAGTTTTTATTTTGGTCTATCAGAATATTTTTGGTAATTTTATAAACCTTCTTTTGTTTAAATTAAAACTTTTGATTTGTAAAACACACCATCTTATTTTAGCCAGTAGGGGCCCTCCTTTTGTATAATATAAATGTTGTATTTTTTTAATTGGCTTCCAGTGTCTATGACTTCATCTGCTTGTTAGTAGCTTGTTAATCCTTAAAAACTTAAAAGCACACAATAACTTATGGAAGACCCACCTGAACTTGGGCCCATCACTGCTCTCTCAGAACTCTCTCAGCTCCACCTACCTAAACAAGGTGCCTGTTGTGGGGAGAGGAAAGGAAGGCAATTGAAAGCCACTTTGACTCCTTTTGGTAGAGAAAAGCAGGGTGTATAAAACAGTTCTTCTTTTCGACAATGCATGGTGATGTATGACATTTGTTTTATATCTAATTTTGCCAATAGCCCACCAACAAAAGATGATTGTTCATGCTATTGTTTCCTCAGATACTGGTACAATTCTTTAGCAGAAGGTAGAACTGCTTGTTCAGTATTAAAACTAGTGTTAAATAGAGAAAGTGCATTAAGTGGGGGTGGAGTTCCTAGTACTAAGGAAAAAAATTAAAAAGTAAGGCTCTAATATAGAAGCAGAGGAGAATAACACACACTCAAAAATATTGTATGCAAGACTGCCAATAAAAATGTTAATGGCTATAATAACAAAAGCATTCACATATTAATGCACTTTAATTGGGGGGGGGGGGAACCAGTTACCAATGCAAGAATGATTATCTCCAAAGTGATTAACAAGTCAGAAAAGACAGAGATAAAGGTGAAATTACAAATACCAAACTTGCAAGAAATAGCAGCCTCTAGTCTCTTTTACCACTCCATCAAAAAATCTGAAACATTCCACTGAAGAAAGAGCCACATAAATTGGAGAAAAGTCTCTTTAGGCCAGAGGAAGGATTCAGGTTTCATTGAGTAGAACACTAGGATGCATGGCACTCAAAACTACACTCCAGCACACAGACAAAGTTGCTTAAAAATTCATCAGTCTAAGTGAGATATGTTAATATTCTGATTAAATCCCTAATATAGAACCAATCTATTGATCTGTTTTCCTTCTCCTTATTCATGGAAATCATGTAAGCCAGGATCCCAACAGACATTTGGACCAATGTACATTCACCCCTCAAAAATAATGTTCACTATGAGGAAGGCTCAGGATGTTGGAAAATACTGGTCATTTGGGGCAAAAAAACCAAGCTTGCCAAACCCATTTGGTATCATGGTAAGATAACATCTCTCACTTTTGAAAAGCAGCTTGCCATGTACATCAGGTGCATTTTATCTGAAGAGCCTACTTGCACAGAACTAGCAAGTCAGATCTTTGGATTCTATACTGTGAGCCTGCAGATTGAACGTGCTGGGTTAAAGTAAAAGAGTCTGTGCATTGGAACACTTCAAAGAACATTGTCTTAATTCTCAGTCATGAAACAATTCTCTGTAGAAACGTTTTGGAAAACTTTTCTATTCAGGTTCCAATCAAGGCACAAGGATCATGAAATCCTACTTAATGAATGTGTTGAGAGTTTGTCCTCCATGAGACCACATTAAGGTACCTATGCTGTATTTTGACAGATGGTCTGTATAAAACAAACTTTCTACCAAATATTAAATGACTCCAGAGGACATTGGAAATTGCAGACACCATTCAGGAAAAGGGGAGAGGCTATAGGGGCTTCCAGAGAAGGGAAATAGCAAATAGTGGGGGAGGGGAAAATGAGATGACCCTCGCAAGACCTTGCAGGTTCCCACTTGGATACTCATAATCCTTCAGAAGGTAGGTTTCCAACAACTAAATATATGCCTTGACAAAATCTAAGGATGGCATCTAATCAGCTTTTCCACTGGCAAAAAAGAAAGCAGGGGTACCTTTAACCACACAAAAAGGCTATGCCATTGATCAGGGGACCTGCATTATAAAAGACCATATGGGAATGGTTCTGCAGTAAGGGTGAGAGTTGGGTGAGAGAGTAGAGCAGTTGTCTGACTCCCATCCTGTGTATGTGTGCAGGAAACAAAAAAAGGTTTTGTGGACCAAAAATTTAAACCAGAAAGAGGTGTGGTTTGGCAAACAGACTATATTTCAAAGACAGTCAACATTATCTCCATGCCTATGTTATAAATGGCAGTCATGGACTTCATCCTCCAAACCTGATCACCATTAAAAAACTTCAACCATCTAAAAGGAAAAATGATGTCTCCATCATGACTTTGTCATCTTTTATTCTGAGAAACCTATATGTGGAGATAGAATAACACATTACTTTTGTCCTAAACAAAATCTCTTCTCTCACAAACATGTTTGCCTAGTTCACACAGGAATCCTTGCTTCCCCCTCAGCCTCCTCAGGGCATCTTTGAATTCTTTGTTCCTCAGACTATAAATCATAGGATTCAACATGGGGGTAACAATGGAATAAAAGAGAGCAACCAGCCGGTCTATATTCTCAGAGTGGCTGGATTGTGGACGCAGGTACATGGCACCAGCTGAACCATAGAACAAAGTGACCACAATGAGGTGATAAGAGCAAGTGGAGAAGGCTTTGCGCCTACCCTCTGCTGATGGCATTTTAAGAACAGTGACGAGTATACGGATGTAGGAAACCAGCACCAATAGGAAGGGGAATAATATGATGAGAGCACTTACAGTCATGAATGATATCTCATTCTTTGTGGTGTCAGTGCAAGCCAACTTCAGCACTGGTGGCACATCACAGAAGAAATGATTAATTTTGTTTGGACCACAGTAGGGCAAGGTGAAGATCCAAACCACGTTGCCAAGGGGCATCAAGATTCCACAGAGCCAAGATGTGACTGCCATCTGAGCACAAGCTTTTCGGTTCATGATGACTGGGTAATGCAATGGGCAACAGATAGCTGTGTAGCGGTCATATGCCATGAAAGCCAGCAGATAGCACTCCACGGTTCCAAGGGAAATGAGAAAATACACTTGGGCAGCACAGCCAGCAAAGGAGATGCTTTTGGCTTCAGATGCAAAATTGACCAGCATTTTGGGAAGGGTTACTGTAGTGTACCAAATCTCTAGGAAGGACAGGTTCCTCAGGAAAAAATACATGGGGGTATGAAGGGCTGAATCAACCAAAGTAAGGATGATAATGAGGCCGTTTCCCAAAAGAGTGAGGCTATACATAGTGAAGAAGGCTATGCAGAATATTATTTGTATTCCAGAATTATTGGAGAAACTGATGAAAATGAAGTCAGGTCTCAGGGTATGATTTATCAGTTTAAACTCTTTGATAGAATTCATCTGGGAAACAAAAAAGAAGGGGGAATCTAAATAATTCATTCATGCAATTGTTTAGTGGCTGCAACCAGCTTTCCCACTGGTAAAGAATGAGAGATCCCATTGTTCTTGCAAAGACGTTGTGCTGGTGATCATGGGATGTACATTAACAAAAGGTCAATGGGACTGGGGCTCTAATAAGGAGGGGAACTGAGCAAGACTGAGTAATAAAGCTGGCTGGATCCCACCCTAAATACACCCATCTAACCTACATTCATCTCACCCATTCCCCTATTACCATGCTGTTTGTTCTCTTCACCTTTTACTGCAATACTTCTGGTATCCTTGGTGATCTGTTTCTCCTTTATCACAGTATATACATGTAATAAGATTGAAATTTCTATCCTGTGCATTTTGCCTCCACGTATTTACACTCAGGGAAGCAACAACCTTGGGAAAAATTCAACTGGTATTTATTTATTAATTTATTTTTTAAAAAAAGAAGGAACAGGCTTACCTCTGTGAGTAGGATAAGCGTTGGTGTCTGTTGTCTGGAGTAGGTGCCTCTGTGCTTATAAACAATAATATTTCACCCGTTATGTAGAGACTCTGTGGAGATTTTCCCTGTGGACTCTGATTAGTCAGAAAATGGGTTAGTCTAAAAAATAGTCTGTACTACACAACTGTTGATGAAGCTCTATTAAATAACAGGGCACAAGTGTATTTTTCAGGGGTTCTGTATGTATTTGAGAGACTGTAGATGCCCATGTTCATCATTGTATTGTATACCACAATAGGTTGAATCAAGTCAGCAATTCAGCTGGTGAAAAAAAAGGAAGGATTCATTTTGGTCACCCAAAAAAATCTGTGCTGGGTATCATAGTGATTCAGTTCCACAGAATAGATTCTGGCAATGTTTTCCGTGTCTTTTCTGGTGACAGGAAAGGCTGAAAGAGTTGGGTATGTTTAGCCTGGCAAAGAGAAAGCTTAGAGGGGACATGATTGCAGTCTTCAAGTATTTGAAGGGCTGTCATGTAGAAGATGGAGCGGATCTATTCTCTGTTGCTCAGGATTGCAAGACTAGATCTAATGGGTGAAAATTACAAGGGAGTCATTACCGGCTAAATATCAGGAGAAACTCTTTTTTTATATTTATTTATTTATTTCTTAAATTTATATCCTGCCCTGGCAGGCTCAGGGCGGCTAACAACATAACTATAAATGTACATTTAAAATTCCAATATAAAAAACATTAAAATAAATGTAAAATATAAACCATAGGTACTCAAGAACCTAACACAATTTCAAGATGGTGACATTTTATTATCGTGGAGTGGCTGCCTCCAGGCTCCTGCCAGCTGTTGATCTTCCTAACCATAAGAGTGGTTGAGCAGTGGAACAGCCTGCCTCGGGAGGTGGTGGGTGCTCCTTCGCTGGATGTTTTCAAGCAGAGGCTGGACAACCATCGTTCAGGTATGTTGTAGGGCTATCTTTCAGCTATTCTCCTGGAGAGTGCAGGGGGTTGGACTAGATGACCTGCAAGGTCCCTTCCAACTCTAACATTCTATCATTCTATGACAGTTATTTCTACAGGGGTCACGGGACCAACTATTACAGGAACACTGTGCTTCAAAACTATAGCATTTACAGATACACTGGATGTTGGGGTCCTTTATCCTATAGCCTACTGAGTTGGGAAGGAGGCAGGCCTCTCTATCCCATTGTTGTTGGATCTCCCAGTTAAGCTTCTGGAAAAAAATTTTTTTAAAAAAATAAAGGTGAATTAGAACACACAAAAAAGCCATGTTAGATCAGGTCAAAGGCCCATCCAGTCATATAACAGCCAAAATCCATTTGCCATCAGAAGATCCAGCAGCAGGGCCAGAAATCCAGAAGCCCTCCCACTGTTGCCCACTAAGCACCAACAATACAGAACATCCTGCCCCAGACAGAGTGTTCCATCTATACTTTGTGGCTAATAGTCATTGATGGACCTCTGCTCCATATGTTTATCCAATTGCCTTTTAAAGCTCTCTATGCTTGTAGCCACCACCACTTTTTGCAGCAGTGTTTTCCATGTGTTAATTATGGTTTGGGCGAAGAAATACTTCCTTTTTTATCTGTTCTAAACCTACTGCCAGGGGTAATTTCGTAGAAAAAGAGCTAGGGAAACTTATTAGCATAACTCATTAGCATATACCACACCCCCTGACATCACCGGAAGTGTGTCATAAGGCCACACCCCCTGACATCACCGGAAGTGTGTCATAAGGCCACACCCCCCACCCCCAACAGTCCCGGCCGCCACTGCCGGCCTTGCAGCTCCACTGCCGAGCCCCATGAGGGGCCCGGTGGTGGACCTGCAAGGCCAGCGGGAGTGCAAGGAAGCCCCGCGAAGGCCCTCCCTGGCCCCAGGCAGGTAGGGGTGGGGAGAGGCAGGGAGGAAGCAACTTACCATCCCTCTTCTCCTGCCTCCTCCTGGCTGAATGAGGACCGGAAGCGGGGTGGCTGGAAGCAGGGGGCGGGGCTTCATCATGTGCCCTGCCCCCACGTACCTCTCTTGGGGGAACTGCGATCCCCCGCGATCCCCCCCGAAATGACCTCTGCCTACTGCTAATTAATTTCACTGAGTGCCCACAAGTTCCTGTATTGTGAGAAAGGCAGAAAAGTACTTCTTTATCTTCTCTATCCCATGCATAATTTTGTAAATGTCTGTCATTTCACCCCTCAGTTGTTGTTTCTCCACACTTAAAGAGCCCTAACCTCGTTAACTTTTTTTCATAGGGAGTGTGTTCTGTCCCCGTAATCATTTTAATTACTTTTTTCTGTGCCTTTTCCAATTCTATAATATCTTTTTTGAGGTACAGTGAACAGAACTGTACACAAGATTCCAAATGAGATTGCATCGTAGATTTATACAAGGGTATTATGATACTGGCTGATTTGTTTTCAACCCCCAGCATAGCATTTGTCTTTTTTATTGCCATCGCACACTGAATCAACATCTTCAATTAGTTTTTTTCCTGTTCAGTTATCACCAGTTCAGACTCCATCAACATATATTTATAGTTAGGATTTTTTGCTCCAATGTACATTACTTCGCACTTGCTCTTGTTGAACCTTATTTGCCA